GCAAGAATATAATATGTCATGTTGCCATGTCATCATTTCTATTTGATGTGTCTCAAATTTTTGACATGTATTAATTCCTTGTGAGTTAATTGCGAGTTAATGGTGGATTTTTAACAGAATGATCAAATTGAGGTTAAATTGATAAATAATATGAACTAAATTAGAGATTTTTTAAGTTTAAAGACCACACTAAAAGTTCATACAATAATTCTGAGATCAAAATGGGTTTTAACCTTGTTTTATATACAAAGGTAATTGTCTACTCCTATATTTTATAGTCTGAAAAGGGTGGGGGGAAAGGGGAGCTGGGATCGAATATTAAACCGTCCAATGGCGTTCTAACTTACGTACAGAGAAACCAGTCTGAACATCACGTGAAGAACTTCATTCGGCAAATGGCTTGGGAGGCAAATCATTTAGATTCATTATTTTTAGAATGATTTTTTTTAATTTGTACTTTTAATATATAAGTTAAAAGTTTTTTAAAAAATAAAAAATAATATTTAATTTATTAATTATTTAATTAAATTTATTCATATGATATATTTTTAGTATATATGAATAAATTATATAAGATGAAATAATTATATTTTTGCCTTAAATCCCTTTTCATCATATTCAAAATTCAAATTTATGACCCTTAATTTGTAATTTCAAATTTTTAACTATTAAACTGAAACTCCCGTACTCCGAAACTCTGCAACTAGGGTTTTGATGACGGCGGGCCTCTCACTTCGGTGCCCCTCCTTGTTTTTGCAAGGCCTCTCTCCTCTTTCTTTTTCCTGGTTTTCTACCTCTCCATTCCATGGATCAAACTCGTATTTTGGCCTGGAACTGTCGAGGTCTTGGAGATACTTCTGCGATTTCAGAGTTGAAGAAACTCTGTTTCCAACATAAGCCCAGCATCATCTTCCTCTCCGAAACTAAGCGCACAGCGGTGGAGATGACCTTGATCCGCCCAGATCTAGGGTTGGATCACGTTTCTGTGTGCAATTATGCAGAGAGAAGGGGCGGCTTGACCCTACTTTGGAGTGAGGAGAGTAATCTTCAAGTTTCCTCTTTCTCGCCATTGATAGATCTAGGGCTGGTTTTGCTGTTCTGCAGGCAATTGTGCATAGAGAAACCATCACACATCGATGTTGTAATTGTAGATCCCGGTGGTTGTCAACTGCCATCAACAGGGTATTCTGGGCAACCAGAGATGGTTTCTCCTATGCCTCGACGACGTTTAGGCGATTTCAAGGATTTTTTTAGCAAATCGGCAAGGGAGAGGGGCTTTCTCAGATTCCAGTTGGTTTCTGCAGAGGGGCCAAAAGGGGAGAATGTCGGTGGAGGTTGATTGGAGACGTCGGAGGTGTTCTGCAAGGGGAGAATGCCACTTCAGTCTCAAAAGGGGTTCTAGTTCCCTTATTGAAATTTGGCAACAAGGGTTTGCAAAGGATTGCAATAGTTAGGGCATGGTTGAGAGCCCATGGCGACAAGGAAGGTGCCTGGGTTTGTATGGAGGTGCCTGGGTTTGTATGGAGGTGCATGGCCCTCCTATTGATTGAAACTGTTTTTAGGGACGACATATAGTGGGCTAAGGACTGCTGATGTCGAATTTTCCCTGCTCTCCCCATGAAGCTAGCTAAATAGGTGAGGACGTCCAGTAGTTTCAGACGTCCAGTAGTTTCAGACGCTCATAGCGACCTCCTTTTTCTACTTTTGTAGCCCTATTTTTGCCCTTACAGCGATTGTAGTTACAATCTTTAGTCTTAGATGGCCCTCTTCGCTTAATTGTCCATATATGTCATGGGCACAGTTTAAATCTATTACTAATGCTGTAAGTTACGCTTCTATCCTTAATTCGGCTATTATGCCTTGAGATTCATCTGTAATCTCCTTATATTTAATATAATTCTCCTTTTTCTATCAAGAAAAAAAAAATTTAACTATTGAATCACCCTTAAATGGTATTCACATGATATTAATATTTATTTTTATTTTTTATATAAATTTATTAAAAAAATAACTTTAATTTATATCTTAAATATGAAGTTAAAAGAAACTTTTTTTTTAAAAAAAAGAAAAAAATTAAACAACCACGTGATGCAAATATAATATTCACAGTGGACGCAGTAGACACAGTGGACAACAGAGCTGTGACAGCTGTCCCACGATATTAGTAAATTTAGTATTTAAATATTCTGATTAATTAACGGGCCGGGGAAGGGGTTGGCATACTTGGCAACCTGGCATTGTTTGAATGTGGCAATCATTCCACTCCGACTGCCAAATTCCGATCAAACCAGTATAAAAAGTTAAAGCACTTTCTAATATCGAAAAAAAGTGTTTACGTCGTCTATATTAGTTTTTATTACATAATTTTAATTATTAAATAAAGATAAAAATAACTTTTTATTATTGAAACTTGAAAATTTTATTTCTAAAAAAAATTTATTTTATAATTTTAGTATAGTT